GTTATTATTTCCATTTGACCTTTCCTCTTCTTCACTCTACTACAGGCTTTCCCCTGCATTTGTGCCCGGAGTGATGCAAGGCACATTGCATCACTCAAGTATTCATTGCTTTCTGGCTTCTGGCGATATTTGGCTGATAGAAGATACCTGCTGGAGACTGGAAAGTAGGAGGGCAAAAGAAGTCAGGATATATCTCCTGACAATGGCGTGGCCCTCCATGAGCACAGTTCCTGTTGGGCAGCCCCTCTTCCAGAGCTCAAGCTCTCACTAAGCTCCAATGACACTGCCCTCATCACCTGGCCCCTTCATGTTTAGGGGTGTGAGAGCTTCCTCTGTTGCTGGTTCTTGAGTGCCTCAACATCCCTTTGTAGTTGCCTTAACACTATGCACACTTCTCTGTAGGACATTCGTTTAACCAGTTGTAAAACCCCAGCTGAGTATACACGTCAATCAATTTCTAAAGCCCGGCTGAGTGTACACTGTCTCCTGCTGAAAATCTGACAGAGACACTTGGGCTCAGTTTTCAGCGTCTATTATTGGCCAGGCCGGTGCTTTAAGCAGCGTTTCTCATTGCAGCACTATGACATTTTAGGTTGGATAATTCTTTGTTGTGGGGGGCCAACCGGCATCCCTGGTCTCTACCCACTGGATGCTAGCAGCAGTTTTCCAGTTGTGACAATAAAAAATGTTTCCAGATATTACCAAATGTCCTTTGGGAAGCAAAATCATCCTGGTTAAGAACCACTGCTTAGCTTGAGCAACATAGTGGGGGCCTGTCTCTACAAAGAAAAAATTAGCTGGACATGGTGGCGCCTGCCTTTAAACCCATCTACTCAGAAGGTTGAGGCAGGAGGATTGCTTGATCCCAGGAGGTCAAGGCTGCAGTGAGCTGTGATCATGGCACTGCACTCCAGCCTGGGTGACAGTGTGAAACCCTGTCTCAAAAATAAAAATAAAAAAGAACCACTGTTTTAGAGGAAGTTAATTTCTTCCCGTGTCCAGTTCCCTCTGCAGTGATCAAGTACGACCAAAAAGGAGTCTTTCAGAGGGAGTGGGCAAAGTGTAGCAAGAACGTGGAGCTTTGGTTTCCTCAGAGGTGAGGCACAGGGTCATTTGATGCCACTGGACCCATGTGTTTATGGATCCCCAGGTTTTGTGCTAAGATGGTGGTAAGTGTGTTGAGGGCAGATATGAATCAGACATGGTACCCAATTCTTAGTTGCAAAGTCCAGAGGGGAGAAAAATGGTCAAAAAGACCAAAACAAACACAAAGAAAAACACAAGCCACATTTTAAATGAAGGAAGAGGTAGAGTAATTCATTATCTGAGGGATTTAAATGGGCCTTGAGGGCAAAAGAAGGTCTCCAGAGGCTTCTGTGAAAGGCATCCCAGGCAGAGAGAATGTTGAATAGTCCTTTCTTCCTCTCTGGTGTTGGAAGTTTCATTTATTATATATTTCCCCTTCACCTTTTTGCTGGTTCCAAATTGTTTTAACTTTACAATTTATATTATATCTCCTTCATAATTTTTAAAATTCATTTTGTTCTCATAATTTTTGCTTATTTATTTCTGCAAACATACTTTATAATTATGCTGCATAATTTTTATTGGAATGCAATGAGCCTATAAATTAATTTGAGAACATTTGACACTTTTACCCAATTCAGTTTTTCTTTTAAGGCACTGTATATATATATAGTTATTTATTTATTTATTTTGAGATGGAGTTTTGCTCATGGTTGCCTAGGCTGGAGTGCAATGGCACAATCTCTGCTCACTGCAACCTCTACCTCCCAGGTTCAAGTGATTCTCGTGCCTCAGCCTCCCAAATAGCTGGGACTACAGGCATGCGCTACCATACCTGGCTAATTTTGTATTTTTAGTAGAGACAGGGTTTCACCATGTTTCCCTTGCCCAAGCTGGTCTCGAACCCCGGACCTCAGATGACCCACCCACCTCAGCCTCCCAAAGTGCTGAGATTACAGGCATGAGCCACTGCCCCAGGCCTTTTGTTTTGTTTTGTTTTGTTTTGCTTTGTTTTGTTTTGAGATGGAGTTTTGCTCTTGTTACCCAGGCTGGAGTGCAATGGCGGGATCTCTGCTCACTGCAACCTCCGCCTCCTGGGTTCAGGCAATTTACCTGCCTCAGCCTCCTGAGTAGCTGGAATTACAGGCACGCGCCACCATGCCCAGCTAATTTTTTGTATTTTTAGGAGAGACGGGGTTTCACCATGTTGACCAGGAGGGTCTCGATCTCTTGACCCAGCACTTTGGGAGGCTGAGGCCACAGGCCTTTTTAAAAAAAAATTTTATTTTTGATAGAGTCTCACTCTGTTGCCTAGGTTGCAGTACGGTGATACGATCTTGGCTCACTGAAACTTCTGCCTTTTGGGTTCAAGCGATTCTCCTTCCTCAGCATCTGGAGTAGCTAGGACTACAGGTGCCCACCACCATGGCTGGCTAATTTTTGTATTTTTAGTAAAAACGGGATTTCACCATATTAATTGGCCAGGCTAGTCTCAAACTCCTGGCTTCAAGTGATCCACCTGCCTCAGCTTCCCAAAGTGCTGGGATTACAGGCATGAGCCACAGTGCCCAGCCTTAAGGCACATAATACATTTTTAAGGGTTTCTTTAGAGTTCACACATTGTCACTACTGTGAATAAAATATTTTGTCTATTATGTTTTCCTTCCTTCCTTCCTTCTTTCCTTTTTTTTTTTTTTTTTTTTGAGGCAATGTCTCACTGTCACCGAGGCTGGAGTGCAGTGGTGTAAACACATTTCATTGCAGCCTCCACCACCTGGGCTCAAGTGATCCTCCTGCCTCGGCCTCTTGAATAGCTAAGACCACAGCCATGTGTCACCATGCCCAATGAATTTTTAAACTTTTATTTTGTAGAGATAGGCTCTTACCATGTTGCCCAGGCTGGACTCAAGCTATCCTCTTGCTTTGGCTTCTCAAAGTGTTGGGATTAAACTGCATCTGGCCTCTATTATGGGTTGTTTTTTTTGTTTTGTTTTTGAGATGGAGTCTCACCCAGGGTAGAGGTGCAGTGGCACGATTTTGGCTCTCTGCAACCTCTGCCCCTGGGGTCAAGTGATTCTCCTGCCTCAGCCTCCCGAGTACCTGGGAGGTGCCCACCACCACACCCAGCTAAATTGTTTTATTTTTAGTAGAGATGGGGTTTCACCATGTTGACCAGGCTGGTCTCGAACTCTTGACCTCGTGATCCACCCACCTCAGCCTCCCAAAGTGCTGGGATTACAGGCATAAGCCATGGCACCCGGCCTATTATGTTTTTAGATTAGATACTGTTAGATAAATATGAATCATATGTGTCACTTATTGAGCACATAAGTATGTTCTGTGCCTTGGGATTATACTAAGTGTTTACCTAATTCAATCTCCAAAGCAACCTAATGCACAAAGTATTTTTATCTTCACTTTACAATTGGGAGAACTAAGACTTATAGAGTGGGATTTGCACCTGGATTTCCCGCCATTGCCTCTAATGTCTGTGCTCTTCCCCACTCCACTGTATAACATGAAATCTATTGCATTTTATGTGCAGTCACTTATCTCACATCGAGTGACTCAATCTAGGATTTAGAGAAAAGTATAAGTGAATTACAATGAGGAATTCAAATAGACATTCCTCATTTCCAGTTATAGTCTGCTCAATAAGCCCTATATCACATTTCCAAAGACAGTCATTGCAGAAATAACAACTCCTAGCCAACTCTCAGCAGGTTAATCAAAAGAATATTACAAAGGCTCTATTAGCATTTTGCACACATAAGTTTGTTTATCATGAACTCCACCATTTAAAAATTCCTCTCCCCCTCCCCACCATATTTTCTTAAACAAAAAGACTTCTGAAACCCTGAGAGAGTTCTACTTAAAAATTTTCAGTGGAGACTCATCATCATAATCTAGCATCAATTCACCTATGTGAAGTCATGACAGGGAAGATAAAAATGAAAGATGGCTGTTTGCCTCTCTTGAGGCAGTGCCAGCATTTTTTTTTCTTTTTTTTTCTTTTTCTTTCTTTCTTTTTTTTTTTTTTTTAAAGATGGGGTTTCACCATGATGGCCAGGCTGGTCGTGAACTCCTGACCTCAGGTGATCCACCCACCTTGGCCTCCCAAAGTGCTAGGATTACAGGCGTGAGCCACCGTGCCCGGCCAGTGCCAGCATTTTAAAGAAGGGGTGAGCACTGGCCTGAGTAAATATTGCAGGAAAAGATGATGGTGGGGATTAGGCGGGGACATGTCCCCTGATACCAAGACAGGGAGTTAGGAACCCATTGTTGGTTAATAAAGAGCTACTGAAGATTTCTGAGGAGGTGAGTGACATGAGCTGACCTGTGTTTAGAAAGATCAGTTTTGCAGCAGTGTAGAGAATTAATTTGGTGAATGAGGGCAAGAGACCAAGAAATCAGCCAGGAAGCCATTGTAGTAGTCCAGGGAGAGATGTTGGCAGCCTAGGTTGGAGAAATGGTTGTGGGGCTGAAAAGAAAGGAAAGACAGAAATGAGAAGCATTTTAGGGGGAGAGTTGACAGAGCACAGTGGCCTATGGATACGAGGGTCTGACGGGTGATCATTAAAGCAGGCTTATTAAGGGGGAGTCTACAGATACCTTCTCCATGTCATCCCAGTTGGTGATGATGCCGTGTTCAATGGGGTATTTGAGAGTTAGGATCCCTCTCTTGCTCTGAGCCTCATCCCCCACGTAGCTGTCTTTCTGGCCCATTCCGACCATCACACCCTGCAATGCAAAGAGAAGAGAAATGAATTGGCTGAGGGCTCCACACAGAGAGATTCAGGTACTTGAAGGTCTCTGAAGGATGAGGATGGAAAACATAGCCTTTCTTCCCCTGGAAACAGGATAGCAGGAGACAGAATGGAGCAGACACCAGTGAGTATGGAGGTGACAGGAAGAGAAGGTGGAGGATTTCTTGTGCGTTGGCCTTTCTTCTTTCTCTTCAATGTTGTTTTTCAAGATAAAACAAGCCACACCCATATATTTCTTCCTCTCATCCTACTACACACAGACACACACACAAATACACACACACACACACACACACACACACACACACAATTTGTACACTTACCCTCCTCAAATCCCCTGTGCCTGCACTTTTAGATCTCCAAATCTTTGTTATTCTCTCCACCTTCTGAAATCCTTCTAATTCTCAGGTATTCCTTTTTCTGGGATGCCTTCCCCTTCCTGTGAAATATTTTGCCTCTATTATAGCCCATGATCTCTGGTCAGTTATGTGTATTTCTTCACAAGGTGCAGATTTCTTGAAGGTAAGAGGCTTGTTCAATTGCATACAATTTAACTTTTCCAAACCTAGCAAATTCCCAAATTTAAGCTGGGTGTAATGGTGTCATTGTGTGCCTGATGGATACTGGTTTTGGCACTGGATATTTCCATTTAAAGGGTCCTGCTCTATCAGTTAATAAGAAAAGAACTCCCTACACCTGGTGTGCATGTGCACGCACACACACACACACACACACACACACACACACTCCCCTAACCCTAACCCCCAGCTCAGCGGAGTGTCCACAGTGCAGTGCTTACTCCTAGTGGCTCAAAGCCTGGCATCTGGATGCACACACACCTGGTGGCGAGGGCGGCCCACGATAGAGGGGAAGACAGCCCGGGGGGCATCATCTCCTGCGAAGCCTGCCTTGCACAGGCCAGAGCCATTGTCACACACAAGCGCAGTAGTCTCCTCTTCACACATGGTGTGTGTGGCCGAGTGAGCTGGGGACTGGAGCACCTTGGGGTTTGGGGGAGAAAAGAACTAGTCAGCCACTTGTCAAATCAGTTTGGAGACAGTTTCTTGCCTTTGGGGCCTGATTCTATCTGCAACCAGGGCACATTTCCAGGAGGGACAGGCATGGGCTTAGCCTCCCACTCTCTGGCAGTTGAACCTCCTCCCTCTACCCTGAACTGAGAATTGTGTCCCCCCCAAAAAATTCATGTTGAAGTCCTAACCCCCAGTATCCAGAAGGCGACTGTAGTTGGAGATAGGGTCTTTCAAGAGGTAATTAAGTTAAAATGAGATTAATGTAATATGGCTGTCATCCAATATGACTACTCCAGTAGGATGGGTGTCTTTATAAGAAGAGGAAATTAGGATCCAGATGCATGCAGAGGGTAGGCTATGGGAGGACACAGTGACAAGGTGGCCATCTATAAGCCAAAGAAAGAGGCTAAAAGTTCTGGAAGGACACCTAGCAAACTGATCATCATGATTACCTCTGGGAGTGTGGAGAGGAACTGAGAGGGGAAGTGCTGGGTTATATCTATAATATTTTAGTTTTTTTTTTTTTTTTTACAAGGAAGCTGCATTTGCATATAGCTTATATAATTAAAATTCAATAGCGTAACATATCACTAAAGAAAAAAATAGGCAGTGGTTATACATAGGTGAAATGTACACTTCTAAGGGTAGAAGCACCTTGACGAGGAAGGGGCACTCTGGGAGGAGAGAGGAAAAGAAGGGACTCCACCATGGGACTCACTGCTGCCTCGACAGATGGGGACAACAGAGAATTCCCTCCCCCATGCTGAGATCTGAGTTAGGATGGATGCAAACTAATGAAGAAATTAATTTTCCCAACATCTGCTGCACACATTCTTTCTTTCTCTTTTTCTCCCTTTTTTTCTTCCTTCATCTTTTTCTTTCTCTTTCTTTCTTTTGAGTTACAAACAACATCTGACAAATTCCTGGCATTTGGTGATGAAGGAGAAGCACCAGAGCCTTGGATTTCCTCCTCCCCTGGGAGGATCCAGTGGGGTGGGGCAGAAGCGGGGAAGGCCCCAGCTGAGGAGCCAGGGAGGCAGACTTCCAAAAGTCCAGAGAGAGAGGCGCCAGGCACAGAAAGAGAAGGCCGGCTGAAGATTTATCTGGAATATGGGACCACAAGTGGCTGTGCCATGGAGCAGGGAGAGGGGAACTTCTGAAACCTGTGACCTGGGCCCCACATGGCCTTGTGCAGAAGCTGAACAGAGAAGACCATGACCTAAGCAAAGAGGAGACAGCACCACAGGCCTAAGAACGCGAGGTCTGAAGGCTAGGCAGAGACTGAGCAGAAGCTTGTTAACAATTTGAAGACTAAGGCCAGGCGTGGTGGCTCACGCCTGTAATCCCAGCACTTTTGGAGGCCGAGGCGAGTGGATCATGAGGTCAGGAGTTCAAGACCAGCTTGGCGAAGTCAGTGAAACCCTGTTTCTACTAAAAATATAAAAATTAGCTTGCTGTGGTGGCGGGTGCCTGTAATCCCAGCTACTTGGGGGGCTGAAGCAGAGAATTGCTTGAACTTGGGAGGCAGAGGTTGCAGGGAGTTGAGATTACGCCACTACACTCCAGCCTGGGTGACAGAGCAAGACTCTGCCTCAAAACAAACAAACAAACAAACAAACAATTTGAAGACTAAAAGGAAGCCTTTCCCAGTTATGTTCAAAGCAGGGCTCACACTAGGGGAGAGGCCTGCTGTGACTTCTTAAATCCAGCTTTGCCTCTCTCTCTGTTGATCCTTATGTCTCCCATGGCCCCAATGATGAGTCCTTACTCTCTAAACCAGCCCACAGAGTTCAGAATAGGATATCCTTCTTGATACAGCCACATGCTAAGCAATAATACAATTAGGTGTATTTGCAGCTGCCTCAGTCAGTGTCAGTGAGGAGACAGGGCTCTACTCTTGATCCTTTCTCATGTGACATTTTTATAAATGAATCGGATGAAAATATAAAGCACAGGTTGATCAAGTTTTCAGATAAAACAGCTGGAAGAGAGAGTAATGTTAAATACATTGGGTGAAAGAATAAAAAAATCCAAGAAGATCTCAAAAAGCAGAGAAAATGAGCTGAATCAAACAACCTTTTTTTTTCTTTTTTTGAGATGAGGTCTTGCTCTGTCACCCAAGCTGAAGTACAGTGGCAAGAACACAGCTCACTGCAGGCTCGACCTCCCGAGCCCAAGCTATCTTTTCAACTGTCTCCCAAGCAGCTGGGACTACAGGCATGCCCTACCATGCCCGGCTGATTTAAAAAAAAAAATTCTGTAGAGACAGGGTCTCCCTCTGTTGCCTAAGCTGGCCTTGAACTCCTGGGCTCAAGTGATTCTCCTGTCTCAGCCTCCCAAAGTGCTGAAAGTGAGCCACCACACACAGCCAAGGTTAAATGTGATAAAATGAATATGAATTCCTATATTGTGGGTTTCAATAACCAAACTATGAACACTCTTGTTTAGCCTCTGTGAGCAGGACTTGGTGTCTTGTCGACTCTCAGCAGTATGCCATGGCAGGATAAAAGCTACCTCTGCCCTTAGCTGGGGTACTGTGTGTGTTTCTTGGGGCCACCCTTGCTGGCAAAGGTATGGAGAAGTGGCTTCACATTCACTGCTGGTGAGTGTCAAATTGTAGTACTTTTCTGAAAGGGAATTTGAAAATACTTATTAAAAGCCTTAAATATACATAGCTTTTGACTCCACAAAAGTACTTTTAATAATCTATCTTTGTGAAACAGTCATGGGTGAATGAAAAGATTTGGCCTGTTTTTCACACCTTTGTTTAAAATGATCAAAATTAGTAACAATCTCAATATCAAAAAAAGTTACTGAATAATAAATAAGTTGACTTGTAAACTAATTGCTGGAAGGAAGGAGCATAACATATTTAATGCAATAGAAAAAGTGCAAGTTTCTTTGGTAGGTGAAACAGTAGTATGTTCAGTGTTTCCATTTTTGGTAAAAATGGATTTTTAATTTTAAAAAACATGGAGTCTTCCACATATATTATCTATTTAATCCTCAAAACAGCCCTGAGAGAAGATTTCTTTAATTCTATTACATAGATTTGGAAACCAAATCTCGGAGAAGGTAAAGAACTTAGCCAGAGATCCCCTCACTGAGAAGAGGCTGGGAGAGGCCGGCCTGGTGCCCACTGAGGACACTTCCCAAGCCTGAGATGTGCCTTCCTTGCTACTTGGGGGAACCGTCATAACTTCTCCATGTTTGGTGTTTTTGCTTCAGCCTGTCTCTCCAGAGCTGCTGGCAGCAAACACCCTAAAACAAAAGGGTCTATGTTCTTTTCTCTCTATGAAATGGAGTCCCTCCTGTGCCAGGGCCATGCCTGGATTTACTTTTACAGCCCCAACACCTAACTGGCTGTTTAACACATAGACGGCGCTATGGCCTGAATGTTTGTCCCCTTCAAAACTCATGTTGAAATTTAGTGACCTATTTTAACAGGAGGGCTCTGCCCTCTTGAATGGATTAATGACCTCCTCAGGAATTATATATATATATATATATATATGGGCTAATTTGGTCCCTTCTTGCTCTCTCTTGCCCTTCTGCCACATGAGGGCACAGCAACAAGGCGCCATCTTGGAAGCAGATTCTGGGCTCTCACCAGACAGACACTGAATCTGCTGGTGTCTTGATCTTGGACTTCCCAGCCTCCAGAACTTTGAGAAATAAATTTCTGTTGTTTATAAATAACCCAGTCTCACATATTCTGTAGTAGCAGCAAACATGGATTAAGACAGTAGGTGTTCAATAAATGCTGAATGACAATCTCGCCATATGAGGGTCCCCCTCCCAGAGCTGGTGTGCGCTGCCCCTAGGATCCCCAAGTCCCCACACTCCAGCCTCATGATGGTTCCATCACAAGGGCCTGACTTACAGTCACATGGCACAGTTTTCTCACCAAGCTGGCCAGTGAACGGCAGTGTTGCCCTGTTCTAGCAGGTGGTCCACCTTGAGGGAAAAGCAACCGCCAAAGTGAGGAAGTAGCCAAAGAGGCAAAGCTGTACTCCGTGATTGTCTCCCTCTAGGGTCCCCTCAGCGTCCCTCTCTCCTGTGTAACTTGCAGTTTAAGCCTCTCTGGCTTTTCAATGAGCCCTTTTGTCTCTCTCCCCAACCTCACTCTGGCATTTCCCACACACAGAAAGAGAGAGAGTCTGGGACTTTGTTTCCAATGCAGAGCAGCAGCTGAGACAAGCCACAAGGCGACTTGAAGCTGTCAACAACGCTGTTCTGCAGCACTTGAGGCGGCTTGGAGTCCACTGTTTTGAAGGCAAAACCCAGCGCAAAGTGAGGGTAGGGAAAGCAGGGGAGGGCTGGTGGAGCTGAGCTTCTAAAGGGCCCCACGCTGCTCTGGGAAGGAGTTTACCCTGGAGCTAGACTCCTGGACCGTCTCTGCCAGGAGAAATTCTAAACTTTCCTCAGCTGCTTTCTGGTAATTTGTGGCTAGACTCGAGCATGTCAGCTGAACCAGAGCCAAAGTCACTGTGGTTTCCTGGGGTCACAACCGCTTCATGCTGGCAGGGAGCAGAGAGAGTTGTTCTAGCTCTTTCAGCATGAACGACAGCTGGGCTTCATTGAAGCTCGCACTGACTCAGGAATGAAGCTTTTATTCCCCTTGCCCCAAAGGTGGCCAGAAACCAAAGACAAAATGAGTGCAAGTCATTTGCTCATTCACCCGTCTCCCTGGCCACCCCAAACTCAATGTGAGGGCAGAGCTGTTAAAATCCACCCTCCCCAGCACCTGCAAGGAGACAAGTTTGGCTCTGGAACTCCTCTCACTGCTCCTTCCTTTACCC